TTCCCGGGTCTTATTGTAGTCATTTAGTCACAATTAGAAGATGCAAACAGTATGCAAATAATAGTCCCGCTACTTAATAACTTATCTGATACATATACATGTGTGGTAATTTTGTTATTCGAACAATGATGGCCGATTGGCGGCCAATTTTATTGTAAAGTTACAGTAAATCACGGATTTTGACATGTCCGATCTTGTTGTGTTGGCCGATTTACTTCACACTCGGTAGAAGGAGTAACCATAACCCAAAATGCCGACTGTTTCACGATAACTGTGCTAAACAAACTGTTTTCGTTTCTAAGGCATTGTGATAATTGTGGAGACAGGATAATTGGTCTTGGTTTACACTGTCAGCAGTGTGGCGATAAAGATCTCTGCGATGTATGTGCTGAAAATGAATGCTGGCTTCAAAGGTGAAATAAATATTCTGATTTTGGGAATAACTGACTTGTTGAAACACTGTTCATTCACATATCAGTCATCCACACCTTTAGTTCTATTATTCTATTCAAAGTATATTGATTAGTTTTATATTAAAGAAGAAAATATGATAGAGAAAATGTACATTGTAATATTATTGTATGCATGCATTGGAAAACAATTTAGCATGAGCCAAACGAATTGTTTCTAGCAGCACTTTTAGTATGTATTCAATGAAAAAATAACAAATCTGGAATACGCATGCGCGGAATGATTTGATACGTACAATAACAATCACATGCGTATTTTTTTGTTGTTGCTTTTTTGCGCACAGCAAACTTATTCTAATAAGTTCCTCAGCATACGTTGCGTCAATATTACAACTCATCTATTCATTACCCACCCATTTTGTATTCTGATATAACATACCCTATACTTACTTCTCATTTCTCTGAAGTCATACCAGTCGTCATGAAGTTATAAAGTTTGATACATGGGATACAAGTAAGTCAATGCCGTATTTACATTTATGCAAATTGTCTGTGCGTCTAACGGCACACGTTGATCATATGGATGATGTATGGGTGTGTAACAAGCTTTATCAACAAAGAAAAAGTATGCCACTCAATGAAGCTGGAAATGCTATAATATATAAAATGACCATGCCCCTCATAATTATACCAAAGCGCCACAGTCGTCGTGCAGCGTGCACTATTTTACATGCCTTGTACAAGTGTATTTCTCCGAAATTGAAACGCGCGTTGCGTGACGCTTCAACCATGATGCGATGATAATGTTTAAAGCGGGAGGGTCGTCATCTGCGCACGCGCGAGAATTGGGTCGCAAGCGATGATAACAACACACGATAAAAACGCGAAGGCTCTTGAGTAGACGCTTGTTTGTAAACGCTATGGCCATCTGACGCATGCACACAGGCGAAGACTCCCCCGCTTTAAAAGAACAAGCACCACTGAGCACTACTAATTCAAGTGACATTGACATGCATCATATGTGACAATATACGTACATAATAGCATCAATAACTACGCTATCCATACTACATTATATAGTATAATAATAATATTAATGTATGCTTATTTTAGGGCGTTTCCTCACACCGGGTGATGAATCCAAGGGTTCGTGGTAGGTAAAGATTTTACAGATGTGACACTGCTGGCCATACACTACACTTGTATTATAGTGGTTGTTGTGCTGGCCATACACTAC